CTCCCCCTTGGCTACCAGTTTTGAACCCCAGTTTTCCTTTCCAATATTGCTGCGTGTCGTCAAAACCGGCCATTGCTCCACCTAGCAGCCATGAGCTGTGCCCACCCATCTCCTCTACTGCTACCGCCTGTCCTCCCTCTGCTCCCTCCCGATTGCCCCAACGCTCCCCTTCTTGCACCAGTCTACTTGGACACCGCCACCTCTTGCCCCATGGCACTGACACTGCTCTACCTTCCGTGCCCTGTCAATGCTGCTCTCACCTGCCAGTCTTGTCAACGCCACCCTTGCTGCTTTTTTTTTTTTTTTGTTTGGAAACCCTTGCTGCTTATAGGCTTCCCTTTGCAACTTTAACTTGGCCATTATGCAGGAAGTGCTATTTGGTAGACTGGTACCGACTTTCCAGGGGTCATAGACTCCCCCTGCCTCATAGGCCACACCTGCTGTAACCAGTACTAAGTACTAACCACCTCACGTTGGAGCAGTGGTGCGACTGATGTCCCTACCTCCTCACTCTCGGGGTCCCGACGTCTGTTGTTCATGATGGTTTGACATTCAACAACCCCTTTTAGTTGACTTGGGGGGGCGTACTGCCATGTGGCGCTCTGTTAGACTATATTGTCAATACTGAGGAAAATCTGTTGCTTGATGTTGCTTTTTTGCATCGATGCTACCAGCTGTATTTCAATTGGAGAAAGGGAGTGGTGTGGGCAGCGGTCCAATGACTAGTTTGTGTACTTTACCCTGCTGTTCGTGCAGTGCATGTGATTCTAAAATGTGGCTTCCTCACCTGGCTCGTTTTTTGTGTTGAAATGCAGCTAAACAGGGACACGTGGTCACAACCCACAGTGAAAGAGATCCTCAATGGTTCCTTCGTCTTCTGGCAGGTGCGGAAAGGGAAAATGAAAAAGTAATGAAGTGATCCAAGGAGTCGGAATGGCTCAAGTAGTAGTCGTAGTAGTAATAGCAAATGGAAAAACAACAGGAAAACCATTTGGGCAGAAACTATATAATCAATTTCATAAATTCAAGGATCGCTTTGGTCATCTGCTTCGGCGTCAGAATAATCGTTCCTTCATCATCATGTTGTACAAAGCAGTTTCATCAACTTTCATGTTTTTTATTCCTCTTTTTTCTGCTTGCAAACTTAGTCATAGTCGGTTACAAAGATCTCTTGCGTCGTCCGCGACTTCCATTGAATCTGGAATCATGTATGCAGAGAACTAGGTATTACCCCTCCCCCC